TGATAAAGGAAAACCTGAAAATAAATTTAATTAAATTTTAGAAACCGTTGCTAAAAATAGATTGTTTTTTTAATCGTACAGTCTGTGTGAAAGATTAAATTTGATTTACGCATTATAGAAAAAACAGTTATCAATCATATAATCACAGCCAAGTGGCCGGATCTCGCATTGGCGTCGTTTATGCGTAAATACATAAGGACTATTAAAAGACAAACATGTACAACAAAAAAATTTCCTTTGATAATTGACCAGAAACCAGGTCAATTTTATGTAAACATTTGCTTACATATTCAGATTAATAATAAAGAGATAGTGTCGTGTAAACGAACTATTTCAATAATAATTCAACCTAGTTCAATAAGCAAATATTTTCTTGAATAGTAAAACTTTGAAGTGGAACAAAATTTGGAGATGTTTCGAAAAAAAGTAGCCCAAATTCCAAACACCACGCCTTTCACTTCTAGGAGATGAAAAATCTTGACCCTTGGATATTATTCGAAGTGTTTACCCAATCTAAATCGTACTTTATGGTTTTTTTACATCGTATAATTAAATATAAACCGAAAACCGAGAAAGGGGAAAGACATTGCGGCTGTGACGAACATAGTTGACACGCACGGATTCTCTGAATATGTAGCCGTGGCCCTCCTTTCTTGGATTATGAAAACATAATGGCCTATCCCGTTCAAGCTTTGGTATAATTCGGATCTAATTGTGCGATTCAAGAGCTGCCTTAGTGCTAGGTAACAAGGGAGTTGTCAGCTGACTTTCTCACTATTCCTAACTGTCACTCCCTTTCTGCAAGGGGCTCTGAACCTTTCTTTATTTTCAGACACCGAGATGCTTTTTAACCATAAGCCTACTTTCAGCATGCTTCGATGACTCTCGACAGATATCGCAATTTGGTGAAAATCGACCTTTTTTTCGATTTCAAATATCGTGATATTTCTAAAACTGGCCAATCATGACACAACGATAAAAACATCACAATACTTTCCTTATCCTCAAGTGACATATAAACATAAATCGTATATAAGTTATTTTCTAAAATAAATATTTTGAACATCACAAATTAATGTAATAAAATAGATCTGCTCTTTATCACAGGTATTTAACACAGCAACAATATTTTACTGATATTTTACAAGCTTTTTAAATATTTTTCTGTTTGCTTTCTCAATGCATTCACTGAGGATGTCAATTTAAGTTTCTAAATATTAAATCCATTAGATTTCGAGATCCGATTGACCAAATAACCTCTTTCAATTAATTAATCTTTATGTAAGGTATTGGTTGAGATAAAAAAGCCAGTGTCATGAGCGGGATTCGAACCCACGACCTTCGGCTAAATACGCCGCTGCTCTACCACTTGAGCTATCGTGACATCGATCCACTCGAACACCAACTTCCCATCTCAACCCACTTTCCAAATTTTCCCTCCTTTTTGCCATTGTTCAAATGTCGTTTAATCTATTTGATTCTCGGCGACAAATGAAATCGCCACGGAGAGCTTTCGTGAAGATATACTTTCAGTTTAATTATTAAATCCATTACAGTTCTTGGTCCGATTGACCAATTATCATTTTTCAATTAAAATTTATGAAAGGTACTGGTTGAGATAAAAAAGCCAGTGTCACCAGTGGGATTCGAACCCACGACCTTCGGCTCTGGACACCGCTGCTCGACCACTTGAGCCATCATGACTTCGATCCACTTGGACACCAACTTCCCATCTCAACCCGCCTTTTGAATTTTCCCTCCTTTTTGCCATTTTTCTAAATATTATAGAGAACTTAAATTTAAATGGAATAATTGCAGTTCAAGATCGACACACACTTACCTTCCATATTATTTTTTTTGACACTCTCTTGTCGTTAAAAAAACTCTTCTGTTCTATTTTTTATTTCTTTAAATAAGCTGTAAAAGGCATAATAAATATAAATGTGCATGCATTGTTATTAAAATATAGATCATTAAGGGATTATCGTAACAACTGCGGTTTACTGGTAAATCTTGAAAAGTCTAAAACTTCGATTTGTAACAATCAGGGGGTGTAAATCTGACAGGATATGGATAAAGAATATGGTGACAGTAGTGATGGCAGAGTGGTTAGGCCGCCCGATTCGTATTTGACACGCTAGCGATTCTGGGTTCGAATCCAACCAAAACACATAAAATTTTAATTGATTAACCTTAAATGTACTGAAAAACTGTTTGACCGCTCGCACGCGACACCCAACTGTCTTCTGAAAGGAAGTACGGATTCTCGGGGTGGATAAGTAGCTTTGACAGTAGGATTAGGAGGGATCGAGAACTTGGTGTGGAAATTTTCAAAGCGGGATCGGATCAGTTTATTGTCAAATATTGGGTGTCATTGAGGATTGTGAGGTTGGCGACGAAGCGAGTGTCGACTATTTATCTGAAGACTTTTGGAAGGACCAACTAGGTGACCTGGAGGAACGTCCAAAGTGGTCTGTCTTCTGTAGATTTACTTGAGTTTGGTCAAAACAGATTTCCATTCAAAAAGTTTTTTTTGGCCATGTCTTCTGTTAAGTTTTATGTTAGGATTCCACGTCATTCTACATATGCATCCTAAGTATCTGGCTTGAGGGGATGTCGGTTGTTCCTTGTTGGTGATGTACAGTGTTAAGCAAGGCTTTTTTTTTTAATTTAAAAGGGTTAGAAGACAAAATTGCCTTATTTTCTGCGTAATGATAGTACTGGAATGTATGGGAAAGAAAATGTAAATGGTATATAGGATAGGACCAACAATGCTCCCTTGAAAGACACCTGTTTCTATTGGTCAAAAACAAAAAATTTTCAAAAGTCAAGTGTACGAGAATGTTTATAAACAAACTTATTTCAGTCAACTTCAAATCTATTTAGGATATCTGTACGTTTATCTAAATATAAAATATCTCGATTTAAACTTAATTAATTACATTAATTACACAGGAAAAGATTTCTGTATTTTTAATTATTTTTTATTAACTTATCACTTTATTTACTCTACAGTGCACCTGATAATCTACACTGAGGAAGACTTTACTCATTTTCAATAGTATCTTTTATAGTGGGGGAGTTCTACAAGCCCCTTCTTTTGAAAAACGCCTCCTCAGACGGGAATAAAACCTTTACGAGCCCCACACTTGTTATCTTTCCTTGGCAAGATGTGTGTTTACCAAGTTTGATACCAAGTCCAATGCAATTATAAAGAAAGAGGGGGACAAAGCTCTGGGCAAACAAAGCAGCATGTCTCTTGTACATTCCAATCCCGATGTACAATACCCGTTTCAATTAGTGGTAATGGCGTTAGGACCCTCCATCTTCCCGGCCATTGTCACACAACTTTCTTATTGTTAACATCCGACTTGAAAGAAGACGTGGAAGTTTCGTTTTTAAATAAATAAACAACGTTTAGACTTGTTTTTCCATTTTACTTCAATCTTAAGAAATCATGGACTAGATTTGCCCATTTTTCTATATTTTACCATTAAAAAAATAAATTTTTAGATAAAATACATAACATTTCTATCTTTAGAAGCTTATAATTTCTGCCTGTTTATTAATCTTAACAAAACAATGTTTAAATTGGACAGTGTAAAATTTTATATATGAACTCTACGAAGTTTCCTTTATTTAGCATTTTCTAATGTCTGACTTGCTTTTTTTCTTCTACATTATGCTAGTTAGCTTCCAAAGTTGTATGGAAATGAAATTAGAAGAAGAAATTTGCATGAATTCACTACTTATAAAACTACATATCTTTTTTGTTCACCAAAATTGTAGGAAAATCAACAAAATTTATTGGCTGTATATATATTATGCAGGGTGGGCGGCCAAGACCCGAGGGGTTAAATGCGAGTACTATTATATCTTATGTTTTTATACCAAAACCTTCTGTAAAATGGTTTGGTTTAATTTTTTTGTGTAGAGATTAGTGACCGTTAATCGATAGGTATTCAGATATCGTGAGATGGGGTCGTGTGTTGTAGGTTTCAGAAAAACATTTTCTTTATCGTGATAACGTTTCGACCTTTTATTGAGATCATCTTCAGGGCTCAAAGTGTTTGTCTTCTGTGTAATTGTGCCATCCTTGCGAGTCGGGCACTCTCAACACGACACGCAAGGATGGCACAATTACACAGAAGACAAACACTTTGAGCCCTGAAGATGATCTCAATAAAAGGTCGAAACGTTGGCACGATAAAGAAAATGTTTTTCTGAAACCTACATCACACACGACCGCATCTCACGATATCTGAATAACTTTAATTTTTTTTTGTTTTTTTATATATATATAAGCCGACGTTTGCTGGTAAATGAAGTCTTATGTTATATTTTATCCAATATCAGCTCATACATTCATTATTCTATCAAACTTCCTGGCATAATGTGCAAAGTATATTTGTATATTCGATTTTGTGTTATTCCGACGCTTTAACCACTTGAGTTTGTGTGACTGCGAAATTGATGTGACAGAAGTTAGAACATCGGAGTATTGATCTGAAGATCGTGGGTTCGAATACCGCCTGTGACACAAATTTTCCTGACATAAACTAAACATTATTTAAAAGTGTACAATTAATTTAATTAATTATTCTTTTAATGTAATGTCTTTGTTGAGAAGAAAAGAAAGTGTCACGAGCGGGATTCGAACCCACGACCTTCGGCTCAATACGCCGCTACTCTAAGAGCTACCGTGACTGGTTGGGTTAAACAAACGAACACAAAAATTCATTTCAACAGTGGTTTTAACATTATGCTTATGAACGTAATTTTGCATGGGATTAGTTTCTTTTTGTATCCTTTATCCATTTCAGGATTTTATCCTATCTTTCCTAATTAATATTTTACGATTTTGGATTTGGTCAACATAATAGCATAAATATCTTAAATTCTTAATATTTTAAACTAAATTCTTAAAATAACTTAAAATGACTTAAAATTAATTAAAATAACTTAAAATTTTTATTATAACTAAATTCTTACCTGGTAACTCGGCATCCATGGGTTTTTAGGATTGGGGATAGGTGGAAGTTGCGTTTATTTTATTTTCAAAGAAAATAATTTACAATATTAGACAGACTCAATGTCAGTTTGTAAATTAACATGTTACTGGAGAATTAAAACTGTTTCAAAGAAAGTTTTCAGTTTGTCTCTGCCTCCCACATCTGACATAAAACAGAAAATTGTAGTTTACAATTAACCTGTTTCTAAAAGTTTTGTACATACACTATTTACAATAAACTCCAACAAAAATACAATAATTTAAGATTTGTACAGATCGAATATAATTTTTGTAAATTTAATATTTACCTTACCTGATCAATCGCTACCCTTGGGTTTAGGATCGCTATAGGGAAAAGTATCATTGTATTTATTTTCAAAAAAATATGTCCAACAGAATAATAAAAATTTACATTATTTAAGGGTTGATTTGTGACCAATAGAGATTATACTGTTTCAGCAATTTTCTGGAAATTTGCCATTGGATTTGCATTTCATAACTGAAACAGAAAATCATTGTTTAAACAGTTAATTATTCTTTGACAATGAAATCTAGCCTAAAACTGTAGAAAGTATATAAACTGAATATCAGTTTTTTAATTATATTCATTGTACCCCACAATCACCATCCTTGAGCTTTCAAGATTATAAGGAAAAGTCTCGTTTTTATTATTTTCAAAAAAATTATGTACAGAAAAATAAAAACCTACATTATTTAACAATGAAGGTGAAAGGTAGCGTTTTAAACTGATGAAGTTTGCAGGTGGTCTGTGCGTTTCACATCTGAAACAGAAATACAGCCATGTTAAATATGTCTCGAAGAATATTAAGTAAAATATTGGCAATAAAATCCAGCCTAAATCCACGACAATTTAGAAATCACATAGACTGAATAACATTTTTTTACTTATATTTATTTATATACTCGTTTTAATTATTTAAAAAAAATAATTAACAGGAAAATAACAAAAAATTACATTATTTAAGGGTTGATGGGTAAACAGGAAAGGTTAAAATACTGTTCCTGCATTATTTTTTTCTTTAATTCACATGTAAAACAAAAAGTCTAGTTTGCAACCATATTCATCATCCATTATGTTTAGTGGTCTAATTGACCAAATTACATTTTTCAATTAATTATTCTTTTTATTTAAGGTCTTGGTTGCAATAAAAAAGTTGGTGTCACGAGCGGGATTCGAACCCACGACCTTCAGACCTTCAGCAGTTTCAATAGGTTGCGTGAATAAAACAATAACCACAAAATTCACTAGTTTTCGTGGTCCGCTTGACCAATTAATATCTTTCAATTAATTAAGATTTTTAGTTGAGATAAAAAGTCAGTGTCACGAGCGGGATTCGAACCCACGACCTACGGCTAGATACGCCGCTACTCTACCGCTTGAACTATCGTGACCTCGATCCACTCGGACACTAACTTCCCATCTCAACCTCACCTTTTGAATTTTCTCTTCTTTTTGCCATTTGGGGGTTGAGATGGGAAGTTAGTGTCCGAGTGGATAGAGGTCACGATAGCTCAAGTGGTAGAGCAGCGGCTAATCTAGCCGAAGGTCGTGGGTTCGAATCCCTCTCGTGACACTGACTTTTTATCTCAACTTAAAACCTTAATTAATTGAAATAACCAAAAAAATTTCCAAAAATCACAATTATTTAGGATTTGGGCGGACTGAATTTTAATTTAATAAATGTCATTTTTATCTTACCCAATTGGGTTTTTAAGATCGAGGTAAGGAAAAGCTTCACTTTATTTATTTTCAAAGAAAATCATTTGCAACATAATAATAAAAATTTACAATATTTAAGGGTTGATATATGAACAGTAGAGCTGTTTTAGAAAATTTGCAGGACGTTTGCAATTGGTCTCTGTCTCCCAAATCTGAAACTGATTTTTTTTTTACTGTAAATTATTTTTTTAAGGGTTTTGTTAATAAAATAATAACAATAACCGTTATAAAGAGACGAATGATATATCCCGTTATAATAGCACAAATAGATTAGAGGTTTTACAATCATTTTTGGTCTATTCTTAACGTTTTATCTCAGGTTCTGTACAAAATGGAAACTAGATAAAGAATTTAAGTTTTAAAAAATAATCACGTCTCGAAATAATTCCTCCCACTTCTTTTTACAAACGTTTCCCCGTGGAGGATTAAATAAACGTGTTAAGTATAATATTTTTTCATCCAGAACGTAAGATACACTGTGTAACGCCTGTGGCAAATAGGACAGAAACAATGGATGCACCGCTATATGTTTTCCCCGGTTTACCTTGGGGAATTATGTCATTTCCCGAAACGAGGGGGCTTTGCCCAACCCTCGTCGGTTCTTTTTCCCTGTTGAGAAAAAAAAATGTTATTGGCAAGCAAACCATCTACTCGATTCAAAAAGAATGATGTTTCGTCCAGAAAAATAATCAAATTTATTATAAATTTTAATATGGTTTTGGCTTTATTAATTTTCTTTAGGCTTCAAGCCTCTAAAACTGTTTTGTACAATTCTCCAAATATTCATAAAAAAGGTCGATATACAGGGTGATTCGCTGTTCTTTCTAAACCTAAAATGCAACAACAAAAATTGAACCATGATCCGAGTCTCAAACCTTATATATCCAAATTTTATGTATTTTCAATTATCCACAGTTTTCGTCATAAATCTACTCGCAGCGCCTGTACTACTCATTTTTCGTAAAATCCAAAAAACCGTTGAAAATAGGGTTGAATTTCCTTTAAGGAGATGCCTTTCGAGAACCCTTAATTTACTTTTTGTTAAAAAAAAAAAAAAATCTTTCAAAAACTGCTAAATTTACAATTAATTAATTTAAGAAATATATTATAAAGAAAAAAGAAACCTATTTTAGAAAGCAAACAAAATACAAAAAAATGAATTATTTAAGTTCAATTATTCTTTTTTGTGCTTTGTTATTATGTTAAAGTTGAATTTTACAACTTTTCTTTTTTTTTGTCTTTCTTGAGTGTAGATATTTTGTCCAATTTTTCTCATTTGTTTGTGCCTTGTTTATTGTACTTTTCTTATGTTTTAATTTATTTTTCTTTAGTTTTGTGTTTTTTATTAAGTTTAAATTTAGAAACAAATTCTATCCAGGATATAAAGTTGAATTATACTTTTTTATGCTTGTTTATTATGTTAAAGTTGAATTTTACAACTTTTCTTTTTCTTTTGCCTTTATTGAGCGTAGATATTTTGTCCAATTTTTCTCATTTGGTAGTGCCTTGTTTATTGTACCTTTCTTATGTGTTTTAATACATTTTTTCTTTTTGTATTTTTTTATTAACTTTAAGTTGGGAAACCAATTCTATCCGGGACATAAAGTTGATTTTTTAATTTTTTATTATGTTAATGTTGAATTTTACAACTTTTCTTTTTCTTTTGTCTTTCTTTAATGTGGATATTTTGCCCAATTTGTCTCCTTTGGTTGTTCCTTGTTTATTGTACCTTTCTTATGTGTTTTAATTCATTTTTCTTTCTTTTTGTGTTTTTTTAATTAAGTTTAAGTTGGGAAACAAATTCTATCAGGGACATAAAGTTGATTTTTTAATTTTTTATTATGTTAAGGTTGAATTTTACAACTTTTCTTTTTCTTTGGTCTTTCTTTAGTGCGGATATTTTGCCCAATTTTTCTCCTTTGGTTGTTCGTTGTTTATTGCACCTTTCTTATGTGCTTTATTTCATTTTTCTTTCTTTTTGTGTTTTTTTATTGTTTAAGTTAAATTATTAGATTAGTTACCCTGTTCCTCCTTTTTTGCCTCTCACCACCTTTTTCCATTTAGCATAAAAGTCTACAGTTTGGTTCGATGTAATTAAAGAAAAGTGTATACCACTAAAAAATTTATTAAACGAAAAATTTGTTATGAAATTTGCCAAGTTCTGCGGTGGATTTTTCTAATGAGGTTGCGAATGTAGTTTTCTTCACAAATTTTTATTTCATCAGTTTTTTAAACATTTAGTGTTGTTGTTTTTTAAACAAAAATAATAAGTTCTAGTAGATAGTTGAAAATACTTGTTGAATATGTGCGAAAGGGTTGAGAATCGGACCATGGTCCATAAGAACTTATTTTGTTGCGTTTGAGATGTAGAAGCATTTGACTTAGTACTTGATTAGTCTTAGGAGTAGCGAATCATCCTGCATAATAAAAATCTTAAAGAAAAACAAATAATCATTATATTTATAAGTAAGTCGAGTATGTTAAGTCAAGCTTGATTCTTGATTTAAATGGTTATAAGAGGGGATTCACTACATATAAACTACTCGGCGAGGGTGCTTTATAAGAGCTTGGGAAGGACTTGGTAAGGGGTCATAGGTCGAAGGCCCGCCGGGATTTTCAATGGGTTTAAACAAGTTTGAAGGGTGGTTTTGGGATGAAGGCCATATTGCTACATAAAGAGATTTGGCCCCCACTTTAAGTCGTGTTGACGCTTTTTAACCCTGGCTCAACCCCGCGCCGCCTCGAGCACCCACCCCTTTTTATGGGTTAATCAAACGTGCAAGATTTACACAATGCCTCTCAGCCGGACTCGCAACAGAAATGTGACTCAGTTCCCTTTGCTGAAAACGGGGGAGGGAAATCTGTTTGTTCACTTCCCCAGTAAGCTTTATTTTGAAAACAAAAGCTCTTCTTATGAAAACTATACTTCAAATAAGCCCGTATTCTTAAACAAAACTATCACTCTTTTATTCTTCAAACCTTTCTCGTGGAATATTTAAAAAGACCAATTGGTGTGGCACAAGATTTTTCGTATTTTCAATACCTACCACCCTTCTTTGTAGCTTGGAATTTAGGAACTGCCAACACAACAAAAGAAATATTTCTTCAGCATCTAGTTCTTACTAATCAGTGATATTGGACAAAATGCAATCTAGAAGTGAATTTAAGGATTTATAAATATGTATCTTTAACCATAACACAATATGAAAATATGAATACATTTCTTCTCTCGCCAAAAATGCCTATCACTGGGGTGTGACTGTATTTATTAGCGCAAATGGTGAAGGTGTGTTGGGTTTTTTTACCGGCGAAAGTACACCCTCACACCAGGAGGTTTATTTAAATACATGCTCCATTATTAATAGTACATGCACGTTGCTGATTAAAATTTCAACAAAACAAAAGAAAATATGATGATAAAAGTTATGGAGTAACCAAACGCCCCTAAGAACAACAAAGTCAGCAAAGTCTGGCAGGTCCAGACGGCCGCCCATCATCTTAATCAGCAGTTCTTTAAACTAGTATAAAAACCCTAATCCTCAAATATCCTTGCGTTCCTCATGCGATAGCCTTCTGCCCGTCATTCTGTCGGTTTAAAATTAAAATTGTATAGTTTTGACAATAAAGTTTGTTCTTTTTTAAAAAAAAGTCTTTTTCGAGCGATTACTTAACTTGAATAATAAATCAAAAGTAACAAAATTATATTTCAAAACACAAAAGGAGACTTCAACACTTTAATGAGAACACTCTCCCTCTCACCTCACTCTCTCTCTCTCTTTCTTTCTTGCTTTCTTTCTTTCTCTCTCACTCACTTTTTCTCCCTCTATCTATCTCTCTTTCTATCTACCTATCTATCTATCAATCTACCTATCTATTTATCTATCTCTCTTTCTCTCTGTTTCTCTATTTTTCTCTTTTTTTGCTTTTACTCCGTGAGAGAAAAAAATTGTTGTATATTTAATTAACATATTAAAGTAATTATTTGTATAAAGTAGTTATAAGAAATATATATTTGTGCTCTTGTTCAGTAAAAATATAAAGTATCG